GGGGGGGAAGGGGAAAGAGCCTTGTGTACTTGTTGAGTTCCTGTCATCAGCTCGTGTGTGCATGAACTGCCGAATCGGTGTGAACAACTGGAAGTTCCGGAGTTCCAGAAGGGGGCAGGAACCATTTCTTCAGTTATCTTGATGTGTAGTACAAATCCCTTCTTGTAGTCTTGTTCCCAGCAGTGCCAGCGCTGATTTCGTTCCGAGAAGAAGGGGTTGGTTGGTTAATACAACCTATGACGGGCTTGTAGGTATAGGTATCGTGCCCCTATTTAACAGGAATATCATATTTACAAATAAGTGGTTTGGAAAAGGAAAAGACGCAAAAAAGGAACTGACGAGCGTATTGCTTGTGTTCGTGATGCATGCAGGGCTAGTTTCGCTGCCGACCCGGGGTCATCTGGACAGTCGATGGATTTCAAGGAGGCGACAAAAATGTTGGAATGGCATGTGAAGAAGGTAAGGGATTGTACAGCCGATTAGTTCAGTGGGTAGAGCACCGGTTGGAAATGGGCATTACACTTCCCTTGGGTTGGTGCGCGGTAAGGACTACAGACACTGCCTGCACCGCCCAAGGGATTCAGACCAGGATCGTTGTGTGATGGGGCTTGACTATGAGTAGGACGTTGGCCATAGGTTGTTCTGATTATCTCCCAATCTGGCATATCGCACATTGGTATCATTTGAAACTGTAGTACACATGGTTGAGCACAACTTTTACGTAATGATGAGCATGGGTCCAAGTCGGCTTGGGACTTCGCTGGGGGGTTTCTTGCACAGATAGGCCTAGCATATGCAGAATGACACAACTCTTACTCACAAAGACTGTGTGAGATGCACACATACATAGATTACAGTCACACATACATAGCCTACTCAAACAGCCTAAAGGGCACACATACACAGCCTACAGGCACATACACAGCCTATGGGCACACACACACAGCCAATGGGCACACATATACATTGCCTATGAGCACACAGACAGTCAACTACAATGCCAGGGGGGTACCTGGTCCTCGCTAGGGTTGTCCTAGACTAGATCTGGGCTTGGGGGAGTTATCAGATATAGTCAGTGATATGCTCGGCAGGAGTTAGGGTAGTGTGTGGGACCAATAGAAACACTGCTTGAGCTTGGAGTCCAAAGTACCCGTGTGACAAGGCTCGCCCGATGTTGCATGCTGTGCCTGCACACGGGCCCCATTTGAGGGGCCCGACGGTTGCTGAGGGGCCCCCAGGCCGCGTACCATACAGCACGCGCCCTGGAGGCCCATGGCAGCCCTTCAGGCCCTAGGTAGCACACTAGTTAGATAGGTTTAGTCTACTTACCTTTTTTTGTGTGTGTGTGCTGTCTTTCTTTGTCTGTTCAGGTGCTGTTTCGGACTTGCAGCCCCAAGGCCGGACCTTGGGACTGGGTACACCAGAGGCAGGCCCGAAACGAGGCCAGGCGCATTTTGGCACCAGACCGGTAGGTACAGGCGTCGTTTCGGTCCTGCAGGTCCCAAGGCAACGCCTTGGGCTAGGTTCACAGGTACCGGGCCGTTTTTAGGCCAGGCGCATTTCTGCGCCTTGCTGCATCAGCAGCATGGTCTGGATGTCCGGTAGGGACCCAGACCAGCTGGGCCGTTTTCTGGGGCCAGCATCAGGTAGGCCCAGCCCGCCCAGCGCTACAAATAGCTGGGCAGCGGCTGGGCAAGGACAGTTCGAGTAGCTCACTTCTGGAGCGACACGCTGCTGGTTGAAGGCAGCGCTATTCTGGCGCTGCGTTGAGGAGTAGGGAGTAGAGGCGTAGGAGGTAGAGAGAGGCGGAGGCCTTACCTGCAAACGGCGAGCTTACCTGGCGCCGTAGCCGGGCTCCACGCGGTACCTGCACACAACGACGACCACAGTCAGTACGGTGACAGCTACCTGCAGGTGAGATAGCAAGGAGGACATCATCTTCTTCTTCCTCCTCCTCCATCTCTCTCCCTTCTTCTGCTTCCTCCTTCCTTCTCCTTCTTATCTCTTTTTCACATACGAGAGTGAGAGAGGTTATCGGCAGGAGATACAGGCAGAGGTTATGTTGGGCACATTGCCCAGGATCTGATTCGACATTTCTGGGACAGACATTGATTGGACACTCGACAAGGGACTATTTTTGGGACTTCGCTATCGCGATCTTGGCCTTCTCCCTCGCCTCCTCCTTCGTCTCGTCTCTTTCCCCCATCTCTCATCCGTGGCATCTCCCCATGTATGTGTGTGAAGGAGGGACCTTTCTTCTGCGATTGTGGTCCCTCCTCCCCTTTCACTGTGTGATGTATGATGGATGTCGGGTCAGTCCAGATCAGATCAGATCTTCTCTTTAAAGTTTTCCCCTGCGCCACTTTGTGCCATCTTGTATGTATCGGAATGTACATTGCTTGTTGATGCTACGCTGACCTTGCATTGTCCATTTCAGTCCTTTTCATCACGGATCCTTGGCTCCCTACGCATTGTCCCATTGGGCATGCGTCAGTTTGGTATCGGAGCCCCGCTTGTGAATCAGGACAACCTGATCTGACACAAGCGCGGGGACAATCAAAGACTGATTGATTGATTGACTGATTGATTGATTAGATTACACTAATTAGTCCCCAAAACCGCAAATTTTGACCTAACTGCCGAATCGAAATTTTTTTCTTTTCTTTTGGACTTCATTTTCCTGCTATTTTTTTTGGAAAATCGCAATAGCGTAGCATCTGAAATTTCGAAATTCCGATGCTGGAGGTCTGAAAATCTTACGGAAATTATTTCGATTCATCTTTTCCTTCGCAATTCCCGTTAATTCGAAATTTCAAACTTTTTTTCTGAAATTCATTATTTGAACTTATTTCCGAAAAATTTCGCGTTCTTTTATTATTCACGCATTCCGGGGGAAATGGAAATTTTGAAATTTGACCATTATTCGCAGATTCGGAAACTATTTTTTAACGGGAAATCCCTCTGCAGTCATTTGTTTTCAAACTGCGCATACTCTCACTTGAGAAATTCCGAATTTTTTTATGTTTCGGAATTCTCCGAACTTGCGGAATTTTTTTATTATTTTCGCAGTTCAGTTATTTTGATCATCTCCATTCGTTATTATTTTTCTTTGTAGTCTGAAATTCGAAATCTCTTTTTTCGAATTACCTGTTGTGGGGAAACGTAGGAGACCTACCGAACTTGCAATCGAGAAATTTTATTAATGATTTATTGTTTAATATATTTCTTATTTTTCTCGAAATTTTCACAAAGTTCCAACTTTTCATTTGTTGATTAGTGGCTCCTTATCTGGGCGATTCACTCGATTTCCCCACTCCCCACCTCTCCCTCCCAACTCCTCCTCCTCTTCTTCTTGCTCAACTGCCCATCAGTCTAGCTACAGCCTTGGTAAGTCCCTACTTTTGCAGGCCACGTCAGCTATCCGCGGCACATGACTCTGCTCATTCGTTCACAGACAGCAGAGATGGATCAGAAAGCCAACGAGACTGACGAGGCCTATGAGGCACGTTTGGCGGCCATCATGGCCGAAAGCAAGCAACGGGCAGAAGCATCAGCAGCAGCCCGGAAGAAAGAGGGAGGCAGAGGCAGAGAGGCTGCGTCAGATCGCCGAAGATCAACGGCAGAAGCACGCAGCAGCAGCAGCAAAGGCCGCTGATGAAGAACGAGTACGGCGACAGGAGATTCTCTTCAGGGAGGAAACTGCGTTACACACACAGGCCAGGGATTGGCAGAAGGAGGCCGAGAATGAAGACTCCGTTGACTACGGGACCAGGGTTGCTCTCCTGCTCAACTGCGTCACGGACCTCCTCGCTACTTGCATCGCACAGCAGGAGGACATTCACTCTCTCGACCACGCCAACCAGGCGCTGACTAAGCGCATACAGCAGCTGGAGCAGCGACCAGTCGACACCTCCAGCGCCGGCCCCTCCGACCTCGTCGGCCACGTCAACGTCTTGGAGATAGACGTGGGAATGCTCAAGACCGAGACACAGCGACTGGACCAGCAGGTGGGGGCAGCAGCCACACCTAGCTCAGCGCCACGTGAGAGCATCCCCAAATTTGAGGGGCTCCCGATCTTCTGTGATGCTTCGAAGACGGAGCCTATACCTTGGTGGCTCCAGTTCGAATTAAAGCTGGACATCCACCATGTTGTCCACACAAACCGGCACGTATGCTTGTACTCCCGGTCAAGAGGTGCGTGCCAAGCATGGCTGGAAAACATGTCCGCACATGCATGCACAGTCTCCGAGTTACACAACTTCATCACCTGGGCCGATCTTGCCGCGGCATGGAAGAAACGTTTCCAAGTGGAACCGCCCGAGCATCAGGTGATGGACAAGCTGCTGACATTTGCACAGAACAGCATGCCAAGTGGAGACTGGATATCTGAGTTCCAACACCTCCCCGCCAAAGCACGAGGACGCGGCAAAACGAAGACAAACACCACTTCTTCTGGGCCCGGACAAGCAGCTCCAACTCAAGAACCTTGGACACAATACGGTCTGACGGAGCGCGGGTATCGCGTCCACAGCAAGTACCGTTATTGTTTGTGGTGGAACTGTGGGGCACATGAGACCGCGAACTGTCCCACGAAAGCCAAGGGCCCTGCTCAGTCGGGAAAGTGAGCACCGCCGAGAGTGATGCGACGACACTCTCGACGCCTTCGAAACCGGTTGCCGTACGGGTAACCTTCCTCGGTTCCGGGGCACATGCGGAAGTCGTAAGTCCTCCCGTTCTTCATTCTTTCGAGGACTATGCTGCCCGGCTCGTACCTTCGCTGAATTCATGAGCCCAAGGACGGGATGTTTGTGCGGTTTCTTCTCCGATCGGAAGCAGCAGCATTGAGTCGTCTTCAAGTGGACCTTCACGGGATTCGGCGCGCGCGTTCAACATAGAGGACTTGGACCCGTTAACGCGCGAGGATTTTGCATGGCTCCCTGTTGCATACTCGTGAATACTTCAACGAGTATGGGGCAGAACCAAAGATCAACCAATATAGGATGAGCATGTATGCAGCGGAAGTCTGATAGAGCTGGCCGAAGCACCTCCCCACCACCTCCCCATCGAGTCGGCCGAAGCACCTCCCCACCAAGCCAACCGAAGAACCTCCCCACCACCTGCCTACCGAGCCGGCCGAGGCACCTCCCCACCACCTCCCCACCGAGCCTACTGAAGCACCTCCCACCACCTCCCCACCGAGCCGGCCGAAGCACCTCCCCACCACCTCCCCAC